TGCAAACTGAGAAAAAGTCAACTGTGATGTTGATATCAGGAATGGAAGGTCCAGACTCCAAATGGAGGCAGGGATTTAGAGGTTTGCTTTTATTATTGTCAATAATTAGATTTTCTAGCAATATTGCTCACCTCACATTCATACTGGAGAAATTAAATTAAATGAAAATGCAATGAAATGTCACACACAGGGGCAGAATACATAGTCCCGCAAAGTGCATTTCAGTGCTTGAGTTGTGCCTACAATGATACAGGTGGGTGACAAACAAAAGGACAGTCCAACATTAAAAGTCCAGTGTGTAACATTTAGGAGGATCTATTGTCAAAAATGGTCAATTTCCATTAGTGTATAATCCTATTATAGGTATTTTTTTTATTTATTTTTTTTTTTTAACCTTAGAATGAACCTGGAATTGACCTTATAATGAATTCTACCTTAGAATTAATTGTTTTTGTTTTGAATCACCTTCCATTGAGTCCTCCAGGTTGAACCGCCATGTTCCCATGTAGCCTAGAATGGACAAACCAAATAATGGCGCGTTTGTGGGCAGGGTATTTTATTTTTTGCGCTTGGAAGGGGAGAGTGAAGTAAGGGAGTTGCAATCTGCAACTACACCATGAGATTCCAGTAAATCCCACACACTGGACTTCTGGAGTCTCCCAATAAGGTGTTGTTCCACCACAAGCCTTTACAACAGTAGCCTTCATTGTTTTGTTGATGATGGTGGAGTGCTAACACGTTGCTCCAAATCACCCATAGGTGTTCAGTTGGTTTCAGTCTAGTGAGTCAAAGGCCATAGCCTAGATCCACATTTTCATACTATCAAACTGTTCGGTGAAGCCTCATGACCTGAAGCTGAGGCATTGTCATCCTGGAAAAAGACGACTCCAATCATGATAGAAATGTTCCATCACAGTTAAAAATAACTTTGTATTGACTTGTGGGCATTCTTCGACCTTTGCCCCAGGATTTCTTAAATCCTGGCTATGGCCCTGCCTCTGAATAGCCTCCTCTCCTCAAATACTAATGAGGGCCTGGATAGCACACTAAAAGACAGCACCTACCCCAGACATAGCATGTTCACCGTGCTGCTGTCCGGCAAGAGATACTGCTTAATTCATCCTCAGCACTCAATCATAGTTTATTTTTTATATCTTGTAAGCCATATTTACTGTATTGACACTAATATACTGCATAGTAAAATGACCTTGTATCCTCGAATATGTTGCGTTCTCCTCTGTTCTTCCTTTTTAAATGATTGTGTAAGTCTCTCTACAACGGTGGGCTCCCCCAGCACACAAGCAAGCACCACAGGTCAATTAATCAACACAAATGTATCCTTTCCTCAGCCACACACACTGTCAACACAAAAACTCAGCTTTCTGGCTGATCTGAGGCTTCTATAGCCCTCTTCCAAAGTCCATAATGATTCGCTCCAGACATCCTCTCTGATCTGTGTGTGGCGGCGAACTCAGTTCCAGCACACTACTACAAGAGAGGAGAGAGTGATTACTCAATGAGTACTAGAAGTAATTTATTACTCATTACTTGTTACGCTTATCAAAAGTAATATTATTACTTCACTTATTGGCCAATCATGAGCTATGTATCCGTATAAGCCTCATTAGCAACAACTTTATGAGTTTCATATTAGGCACCAACTGCCCTCAACAGGTAAGATAAGATATAAGATAAGATATTCCTTTATTTGTCCCACAAAAGTATAAAAAACAGTAAGAGTAGGGAAATAATAAATAAAATAAAAACACTATGTACAAGAGAAAAAACAGTAAGAATCCACAAACAGTAAGAATCCACAAACAACAGATAACACAAATAGTAGATAACACAAATAGTAGCAGCAGCAGTTGCACATGGGCAATAGATTGCACAGTGAATATGGTATGGTATTGCACAGTAATTATTGCACATGTTATTGGTGCACTCCTCCCCTTGTTGTGCATGCTCTCTGTCTCAGTGGAGTAGCAAAGGAGGAGCTTGTGTGCGCATGCTGTGTGCTTGACAGTAATTTAAAAAAAAAGGGGGGGAGAACGAAAAAAAAGAAGAAAAAGAACGGCTCTCAACTTGCAACTCGGTTCCCATCGCTCATGTTAAAGAGCCGTTCAGTAGATTCGGTTTGTTTGTGAGCATCACAACTCTACGGTTCATTCTCCATTCAAATGAATGGGATTTACATAGCAGGCAGGTTTAAGATACTTCCGGGTTGGCTTCAGTTTTCCGACCCGGAAGCTCTGTCTATTATACAGTCAATGGTTTGCACTTCTTCAATGGATATGATAAATCTTTCTTTATTGTCAGGATATGTACCACAGTCCTTTAAAGTAGCTGTAATTAAATCCCTCTTAAAAAAGCCCACTCTTGACCCAAGGGTTGTAGCTGACTATAGACCCATTTCTAACCTTTCCTTCCTCTCTAAAGGAAGGTTGGCGGTTCGATCCCCGACTCCTGAAGTTTTCTAACCCACTGAACCCCAAATTGCTTGCCAAATTGTGCTTCGGTGTATGAGTGTGTATGAATGATTAGTTTCCGTTCTGGTGAGCAGTTGGCACCTTGCATGCCAGCCACTGCCATCAGTGTATAAATATGTGAGAATGGGGTGAGTGTGGCATGTACTGTACAGCGCATTGAGTGGTCGAAAGACTAGAAAGGCGCTATATAAACAGTCCATTTACATACTTATATATGCTTCCCTTAGGCAACATTATTAGGAATCACTCCATTAACTTTCATTGTTATGCAGATGATACCCAATTATATCAATCAAGCCATATGTAATTAATCAATTATATAAATTACAAGCATGTCTTAAGGACATAAAAACCTGGATGAGCTGCAATTTTAAACTCAGACAAAACTGAAGTTCTTGTACTTGGCCCCAAAAACCTTAGAGACTCCCTGTCTAAAGATATAGTTAGTCTAGATGGTATTACCTTGGCCTCCAGCACCACTTTAAGGAATCTTGGAGTTATCTTTGCACATAAAGCAGACCTCTAGGACTGCTTTTTTTAACTTACATGACATTGCAAAAATCAGATACATCCTCTCACAGACAGATGCAGAAAAACAAGTTCATGCATTTGTTACTTCTAGGCTGGATTACTTGGTAAAAAGTGTAAAAAAAGTTGTGTTTCATCAGACATCAGTTTAAAATTAAAATGCGATGTGACAATTTCACTCTATCTCTCTATGCAGGTGTGTACGTGTGCGTCATTCATCACAGGTGTGTGTTGTCTCTGTTCGTTAAACAGCACTAATGAGAAAGTTACCTACTGCAGCTTTAATGTTCACACACCACTATTGTTGGCTGTGTGTGCGCTGTGTTTATATTAAATGTTGCTGGTTTTGTATGGTAGGTGCTGTCAAGCACTCATTCTACTGAACTGCATACACAGCTTGTAATGTGTTTTGGTGAGAACTCTTACTCCCTCCCTGCTGTTTGCTCATTGCATTGGTTGGACTGCAGTTAGCATCGTATTGTTGTCTTAGAGCTGGGACTGACATGGGACCATGTCATAGGTTTTTATTAACCTGACGATCCCTGACTAAGTGACATATTTTATGGGTATTTCATGTTCTATTCAATGCATAACAATAACAGTAGAGAACAACTGATAAACTGTACAATGTACCCAAACAGTGAACACAATAACTGCAGGAAGTTTGTGTAAAAAAATATTATATTTTATATTATTCTTATTTTTTGTACATTTTTATACAATTCTGTCTGTATTTTGTATATTTGTTATGTAAATTTAACAATCGTACATTCTTAATAGGCTTCTTTTTTTGAAAAATGTACTTTGGCTTTTTGGTTGTTTGAACTTGAGATCTTCAATAATAATCTAAACTTTAAAATAACAATTTCATTTAATTTCTTCACAGTAATGAAAAATAGGCTAAGATACAGGCTTACTGTATATATTTTTAAGTTGTCTTGCACCTCTTACAATCAAGAAGGCCTCAGCAAGCCCCATGAAGCTTTGTCCCCAAGTGGGGATCCTGACCCCAGGTTGGGAACCACTGGGATAAAGTTTGCAATGATAGCCACGAATTACAAAAACAAATTACAAAATAAGACATGATTACTAAAAACTCAAACAGTCTTATACCTCAGTATTTATATGATATTTCCTAACTATTAGGGGTGAATAGATAGCTACCTGAGGCGACCAAAGTGCAGAACCGGCTCTAGTTAGGTGGCTTAGGGTGGCAGTGGCCACCTATAGGAAATCCTTTAGATTCATTTTTAAAATGTGTTAAAAACAGAAAAGGAAAGACATGATTTTGGAAAAAGATTTGGAAATAGAACAATGTATTGATTTCTAATGCCATCTTTTAGATATTTCTATTCAGTGATTTGCCACATGTGCCACAATGATGTAATTTGGGGGCTTTTCCAAGCAAATATTGATATATGTGGCTGTTGATTGTTTAAATCCCCATATTTTTCTGCCGCTCTTTATTTCTGTAGATATATTTGCAAGACTTTTTATTTCTTTAGGCTACTTTTACAATCATTTTTCTATTAATATATATATTTTTAATTTTCCTGTATTTTTATATTGCGTAATTTCTTTATTGATTTATTTACTTGTTTATTTATTCATAGTATTTTTATTTGACCTCAGTATCTCTCAAATCCTAGCTACAAATAGGTAGGCTGGTTTTCCAAGGAATTAAGGATTTACAATATCCCTCCAAAACATACACGCGCGCGCGCCCGCGCACACATAGTGGGCGTGTTTTTCCTCCAGCTGGAGTAAATAGAGGCGGTGCTGCAACGTGCGCCTCTGACAGGGAATGGCTGTGTCTCTGCGCTCCGGCACCGGCTGACACATTGACAGCGCTCCGCTCCATCACTGCACTGCTCCGAGCTGCGCGTCTCACCGGCTCCGGGACTAGACGTGGATTATATGCTTCAGGTCGGTAGGTCTCCGTGGATTCTTTAACATCTTTCTCTGGGGTGGGGGTATGTTGTGTGTGTGTTGATACTGTGGCGCATCCAGAGTGGGTACTTCGGGGCGTAATTTGGCCGCTGCGAGCCACAGGTGTTGTTGGAAATGATCCGTGTCGGTAAATGCGCTTTTTTGCGCGGAGAAGGAAGCGCAAGTTTCGGTAAATGTTATCGCAGCGGACAGGAGAGGGTCGCGGTGTGCACACTGTGCTGTTGAAAAGCACGCCGCTTGTCCTGCCACGACTTCAAGGGGCAAAGGTAAGTGGACTCCCGGTCAGTGCGCGCTGATAGCGTCGCTCCGTGTCTAGCAGACGGTCTCCGAGTTCCCCGAGTTCCCCGGCTGTCTTTAACAAACAGCCCATCTCGCTGTGCCTGCAGCTGGAACTGAAACGCAATAAAATGACTGTAATGAGAACTGAAGCTACTGAGTATGATCTGCTGAGGAGCGCAGTCTCCACCGGGATCCAGTGAGGGCACAGCTGCCGTTCTGTTGTGGCTTCACCTCAAGATGCTGCCAGAATTCCGCTTTTTATGAGTCACATGTAGGTTGATGGAGCTTTGAAAATCACTTAAGAGACGGAAGAGGTCGCGATCTTAAACAAAGAAAGAAAACTGTGTTCACCGGGCTGTTCACCACCACTTTGCAGCAGCGGTCTGCAGGTTTCCCTCTTCCTCCGCTTTATGAATGGTGCGCACTGTTCAGTCTGCTGCGGTTTGTCTCCAGAGGAAGCAAGTGCACTGTGCAGGCTCTTCAGTCCCAACAGGTTAGTGGACCATTTTCCTCCTTTATATGTGCAGGGATTATGCTTATCAACTGTGTTGTCCGTACAGATCTTTGTACATCAGGGCTGCAGCCAGAATTGTATAAATACTGATGTTAAAACTGCCCCGCTGAAAACCCATCCCTAAACTTTTCTTTCTTTGTATTGTCTTTATAAATTTAACGTTTGTAAATGTAAATATATATATTTTGTTTAAATGTAAATATATATATTTTGTTTAAATGTAAACAATTGTATAAGCATAATGTCAATCGGTGGAGAAATACTGTTATATTAATGGATTTGCAGACAAATTAAACAATTTTGACTCTGCAAGACATTAACATCAGGCTGAAAAGCTTAACATCTGTGTGTAACTTTACTACGATTACTCTTCAAATCACACTACTAAATATAAATGCAGTATAGAATGATACCATTTTTTTATTTAGTGATTTTTTTCATGGAAATCCCTTAAAGCGTTTTACAACATTTACAGCATTGTCCTACTAATGTCTGAGAATGATTTCTGTTTAATAGCATATCATTATCTCTGATAACACTGATAACAATGTTACTGTTACTTCGTACACTACTGCTTTTATCTTCTTTTTGCAATGGAACTCCTCCGTGGTTCAGGCGGTGACAGTGAGCGATTCTGTGTTTTGTGACTGCGAAATGTGCCGATCAAGTGGAATCGGTGTTCAGGCTGATGAAATGATGATGCCTCCTGGCTGTCTGTGGCTGTCTGCCTTCTTCTCGTGTTCCCTTATTACCTTCGCTGTCCTCCACAGAGGGTGATATGATGATGATGAGGAGGAGAATAGCGCTGTAGCACAGGACAGGAGCAGGAGCAAGGCTGGGGAAGATTGGCAGTGACGATGATAATGATGTGGAGGATGATGGCATTCTTGTGGACAACAATTTTTGTCTGAGTGACTTGTGCTGCAAAAAAAGGGAGTTACGCAACTAGTTGAGGCTAAAATAAGAGTCAGTGCTAGCAAGAACAGGTTGTCTGTCTGGTGGGTGCTACGGATGATGGGGAGAGCAGGAAGATGTGTAGAAAATCTTGAAAATGAACTCTAAGAGAAAGAGCTGTCTTCAGGATGTGAGGCTGGAGCGAGTTTAGGTGAAGTGGTATTGCCTTTCATCTACAGCTGACTTGCAAATGTACAAGCTGCTGCAAAGAATCATTGTGTGCGATTGTGACTGGCACATTGTGTGTGTGTGTGTGTGTGTGTGTGTGTGTGTGTGTGTGTGTGTGTGTGGCGCGTCTGCAAGAGAAATTCCTTTTCTTATTATAGGCTTGCATCACTTATGAATCTGCAGCTGCTCTGATGTGTCTGATGTGCTGCAAGTTCAGCTGCTGCTCACAGACTCAGTCCAGGAAGGACTGTGCAATATTTCACTGCTTGAAAAAACAACCCTGACTCGCTGAAGGAAACAAACTGCAGTCTCTTATGTTAAAGTCCAATGTTTTGTTGACTCCCCCATCCACCCATCGCCTCCTCACCCCAGACTTTGTTGCTCAGTAATATACAGTATAATTGTTGCTCTAGAGGGCTTTGAATGTTAACATTTGGGATAAGCAAGTACACCTTTATCTGTATCTATACTTAATAATGGGCGGGACTTAAACTGGACATGGGCAGGACGAACCAGAAGTTTAGCCTGAAGTTGATATGGGTTGATCAGAAGTTGCTGTATTTATTAGAAAACAACATCAGAGCAACCTCAGAATTGAGGTTTGGAGCAATGATTTTAGCTTCAACCATTATTTGATTAATCCGTTAGTTGTCAGCTATTAAATTAATCACCAACTATTTTGATAATCAATTAATTGTTTTTAAGGTATTTTTTTCAGATTCTCTGATTTCAGCTTCTCAAACTTGAATATTTTCTGCTTTCTTTAGTCCTCTAGACAGTTTCTATATTTTTGAGTACTGATGTTGAAGCATTTTACTCTGATGATACTTGTGAAAGTACATTATTTGTACAGGATACTAGTTTCAGCCGAGTACTTACTCAACCCAAGTATAAATATGTCGTTTGTCGGCGCTTGCTGAAACGACTGATACTGGTGTTCTTTTTGGAAGAACGCTCTCTTAGAAACGGCCTGGTCCAGGTCAGTGGACGTGACGATGATTCTCTTGAGGGACACTATGCAAGGTTAGGGTCATGTGACAGACTTAGACAACAGACAGTATCTGTATGCTACTTTTCAGTGGCCTTGCTAACTAAGGTATCGTAACTTAATACTACAAGACTGTGTGGGCTCTACTTATTTCTTGTCTGTAGCTTTTTGAAAAACAGCTTGAAGATAGCAGGAAGCTGTGGATTTGGGTGACCTTTCAGTATGTTGGGTGGAACGTGCTGCACAGAGTTGATTCACATTTGATCTAGCTGATCTGATCACACGATTGCATTGCACCTATAGGCATTATTTTCCTTATCCAAATGCAAATTGCACTACGAGGTGTCAAAGTCAGATCGACTAATGATGTCTTTAAACGCAACTGACTAAGGGAATCTTGGGAAAGGAAGGGACATTCAGTTATCTTGCAGCCACTTGTTGCCAGATTGGCTGCTGTTCAGCAAAAGAGTCCATGGTAACGGGGAGATTTGTGTATAACTGAATGTCTGTCTGTTTTGTTGCTTTGTTTCACTGGTTGATGGAAGTTTAGTGGTGAGCCAACTTAATCCAGTTCATGAAAGCTTTAATTTGTTCCTCTAAACAATGAGGGGAGTAGACATCCCAATCCTACCACAAATGACTGTTGAGGAAACATTTTGTGTCTGAATCATTTTAATTTGGCGGGGTATTTAGTATGAGCGATGATGTAAATGAATGAGGCTGCGGTTGAGTACGTTTGAATGCTCTGCCGCTAATTAAGAGCTGATGTTAGGTGGTTAAAGATGCATCTTGAGCATGTCTGACAGCAATGGAGCACAAAAGTGTGAAAAGTTCTCTGCTGCTGAACATGAAATATTGGCTGAAGAAACCAGGAACTGCAATTACACAGTTGTCTTCCTGGAAGAAGGAAGGAAGGCAATTGGGGGAGAAAATAGCAGTAGAATAATTCTGCTGGCTCATACTAGAGTACGGCATGAACGAGAAGCTTGTAAAATGTTCTCACATCCTGCTGCAAATCCCCCCTGAGTGCCTGCTGCACGGGAGGCGATTTCTCCTCCCTGTTTGTTTAGAATAAGAACTGTGTATTTAGCATGAGCAGCAAGGATAGGGAGGGAGAGTAAGAGAGAGAGAGAGAGAGAGAGAGAGAGAGAGAGAGACCATATATGAAATAACTTAAAGCTGCACTAAAATTCACATTTTATTGTAATTTTTCTTTCTTAGATTTATACTTTTAGATAGATCATTTCTGACAATGAACACATTTTTTGTGTTTTTTTTGTTTTGAGGCCCCTGGTTTCCAGCAGCAGCAGCATGCAGCTGTTTTTATTGAAAGCTCTGATAAACCCACTGTACGCTAACTGCCAACAACCATCAGACAGACAAAGATAGCGACTAGCTAAAAAGCCATATTTTCTTCAGGAGTTCATGGAGGCCAAACCAGACCTAACAGAGTGAATATTGGATTTACATTTATGACGTAGATACAGACATGACTCCAGATAAATTTTAATGAGGTTCAGTAGTTAAGAATCAATATTTAATTACCATAATGGTAATGTCTGCTATATATGTATTAAGGTAACTGTTTGTGGCCAAAAAACTAGTGCAGCTTTAATTTCCATAGAAGGAAAAACAATGCATAATGTGTGTATTTTAGTTGGGTTTTCAGTAAAATAAAGTAGCATGAGCTCTTAGATTGCTTTACAAATGAATTGCAAGTGGGCAATGAAAAGCTACTGAGGACCTCTACACATACACGCACACCCTAAACCTTTTAGCCTTTCTTGTATTATGTCTATTGAATGCAATAATCTTCCAATGTGAGGAAGACTACTCTTGGTAGAGGAAAAGTTATTACTTTCCAGTATAGGCTGGACTTTCCACACACACATCCACACATATAGTCAGAGACGTACAGTCAGAGGGAAAAACTGGCAGAGAGCTGCCACCGTGGATGATTGGGCGGGCAGCCAAAGGCCACAGTTTACTTGAGGAAACCATCAGCTCTCTTGCCTCAATTGAAAGAGGAACACCTCTCTCTCCTCTGGTCAGGCTTGCTGGCTACAAGGCTGCTCTCTGCTTCTCCTCTGCTCTGCTTTGGAGATTATTATTATTATATTTGCAAGTTTCCCAGATGAAATCTAGTGATTTTTTTTTTTTTTTTACCAATCCATCAACTCTTTAATGGGCTGTGAAATTGTTTAGAACAGTTGTTTTCCTGCCTGTACTTGCTACCCTGCAACAGAAGTTGGGTCAACCTGACTGCAGCCCAAATTCATTCCAGGCACTGCCCTGGCACTACAACACACAGCTGCTTGTGCTCTGTGTGCGAGTCTGTTCTTTTTGTGGACTGATGTGATCCAGACAGACAGAGGTGGATATCTGTCTGTATTCTATCGGCATGTCCACGTGCCACTGCAGCCGCTTAAAAGCTGACATTAAAATCACACAACGCAGCCACGTCCTCCAGACTATGTTTTCTTTGGATCCCAAGAGTACAATTTAGATCAAAGCACTGGGAAGAGGGGTGTAGTGTAGCACACACCCAATGGAGCTCCTGTTTACCCACTTTTTGATCTGCAGAAATTGAGTTTACCACCTTTGCAGGCTAAGAAAAGACCTCCTGACAGATAAATATACATACATATCATCAGCACATTGCTAAATGGGCAAAAGCTGAATGCAGATTATGTTGTAAAACAAGAAAGAAAAATATGTCCTTGCCACAAACTGGCATCTGTTAACCTCATGTAATTCTATTTTCAAGCAAGCAAACAACTCTGGTTACCGTTTTTGTCATAACTAGTGCCTGAAATGGATCAGGACTCACAGGTGCTGAGTACCAGCACATCTGGTTTTTGTCCACCTTGCATTCATAGTTGAACAAGATAGGGCTGAACACACAGCCTTGAGGGGCTCCACTGTTCACCACTAGAGTGGAGGAGTTGTGACAATCTGAACTGTCTGATCATCAGTTTCACGCGGAGGTTGTGTTGAGTGCTGTGCTGAAATCAACTAGTAGCATTCTTTATGTAGGTGCTGTTTTTCTCAAGGTGTGTGAAGACTGAGTGGAGGGCAGTGGAGATGGCATCTTCTGTGGATGGCCCAAACTGGCATCCCCTCCTTTTCTACAGGGGCACTGGCTGCCAGTTATTGAGCACCATAAACTGCTCTGACTTCAGTTTCTAGTCTGAGAAATCCTGATCTACATGGAGCCTGTTTACAGCTGGATATCTTCTTTGAGAAATCTCCTCGTTAACATGAAGCAGACTCCAACACAGAATACTACTGGAGGTGTTTTGTAGCTTCAAGTGTGTGTGAAGCTGCTGCAAGGCCTTTATTCAACAGGCCAAGAATGCCTCAGCAGTGATTAGTAGTTTTAAAGGAGAATCAGAGCAGGCATGGAGCTGTCGACAGAGATAAAGGAGCATGTCTGTGCTGTGGAAACAGCAGATCTCAACATGATAGCACTGCACTGACCCCTTATTAATGGTGGTGGAGTACACGCACACATACACACACATACACACTGAGGGGAAGATATGCAGGGAGTCAATAGCTGTATTTCCATCAATGTATTGCACATTTGGAAGTATCACATTAAAAAATGTCCTCAATTCACAAAAAGGTCTTGACGCTTGTCGTGAGGTGGCTTTTTTGAAAAACATTTAATGGTCTTAATGGGCAAGGGAAAACATTTTTCAGACTAAATTCTGACATGCACTCGAACACACAAGGTTCTTGGAAGTCCTGCTTATTTATTAAGCCTTGCCTCTTGCCTATAATGTGCCAGGATATGTGTTTGGACCGGCAAGTCTTGTTATCCACATATGGAAGGAGTCTAAAGTGTATGTGTGAGCTTTTGGTTATGTACATAATGAATAATAAAGGTGAAAGTGAGAGCAGTGGTTTTACCTGCAACTACAGTTGGATTACCATTGATGTGGACCATTGGTGGTACATAAATTAGACCACACCACTCAGGTTCACAAAAAGAATGCCTTTGTGTCTGCGCATTTTTAAATCCAACAGTGGACCTAATTACACATTCGCCAACAGTGGTCCGTAAGCCAGCAGGACATTTGGAGGTCTACAGTTGGTCATGCGTAAAATCATGTCTAAAAGAAAAATAATTTATTTTAACTGTAGCCATAGGGGGCCCTGCACGTGTGTGACTGTTAACGCTCATACTCAGCACTGCCCCTGCAGGCTGGATCAGGGATTTTAACGAGACACTAAAAAGCTTTTTTCACACTCCTCAATAGTGTGAAGTGCTGTCCAGGCAGACTTTCAGGAGACAGGGTGCTATTTAACAGGCTGCATGCTGAAGTAACCGGTGTCCCTATAACATATATTTTTATTGTCTTTTGTTAGATAAATACATAAATAACAAACTTAAGTTGATGTCCTAACCATGCTTCACACTATATTAAAATGAAGGGCTACCAAAAAGGCAGAGTGGGGAATAAAAAGTATTTTAAAACAAAAAAATGAAAAAGTCATGTTAAAGTTAGAAATAAAAGGGTCAGCAGTGAGATCATTTAATTTAAATTAATCAAAACAGATCTCTCAGACTTTTCACTAGACCTTTAACATTTAGTTCACATGGCAGTGTGGAGTGGACAAAACGGAAAAATTATAATTCCAGCTGACATTTTCCCTTTAATTCTTATTCATCTCTCTCTCTTGCACTCCTTTTCTCTCTCTTGGTCTAGAGTAGCTGTCAGACCTGTAGATCTTTCACAGGGATTATTTTCAGGATGCAAACAAAGTATTTAGTCAGTTTCTTACTTACTCATACACACAAACACACACACACACACACTTTCATATCAGGATACAGCATAGTATATGTCCTATCATCTACTCCCAGGAGACTATGCTTCTTAATATTCAACCATTAAGACAAAGGTTTCACCCTGTGTTACCATAGTGTGTCCTTTGTGGTGTGTGTTGAATAAAACATGTGACTCTGCTGTCGATGGGTTTCATCTCTCATCTGTCAGTGGTCAATCATTTCTCCTGGCTGCTGTCACAGCATCAAGCCCTGTCCTTTCTGCCTTCCACTGATGTGTATTTGGATGTCGATTTTCCTATTGAAGCTAAAAATAGGCATTACGTATATAAAGGCTTTTTTAGGCATTATTATGTTAGTAAGCCCATTCCATTTATATTTTTTACACCCACTACAGCAGCTACTGCTGAGGTCCCAGGCGTCTGGACCTTGGGAATTTTTACCACAGGCCACTAATTTTCTCTTGTTCTGTTTTTGTGAATCAAAGCAGTTTTTGTAACTGGCATCATTCTAAAGAAGAACAGCACTAATTTTAGCAGGCTCAATTATAAATGTTGGCAGTACTACTCAGTTTGAGAAAACACTTTGTAGAAAGATTATTCATGCCTTTTGTACAGTAACCACTATAGAGAGTACAATTTATAGTTATTTAGAGTCAACCTGAAAATCTTTCACTGAGGGGAAGATATGCAGGGAGTCATTAGCTGTATTTCCATCAATGTATTGCACATTTGGAAGTATCACATTAAAAAATTTCCTCAATTCACAAAAAGGTCTTGACGCTTGTCGTGAGGTGGCTTTTTTGAAAAACATTTAATGGTCTTAATGGGCAAGGGAAAACATTTTTCAGACTAAATTCTGACATAGTAAACATTTAAATCTCATGACTAATGGGCTGTTTGCGCTCCGACAGTCTCCTCATCACTGCCATGGCTCTATAATACATCCATGATCGCTGCACACAGATCTGATAAAACCTTACTCACATTGATACATGAAGAAAACAAAAAGGTCATATTTCTATCCTGTTTTCTGCATCGTTTTTCACTGTTTGAGGTTTGACTGGGGCTCTCTTAATCACGTAATCTGACTGGAGGAGTGATACCTCTGACTGCTTATCTCAATAAACCAATATCTGCATGGAACCAAGCATTAATTTGCATTGTCTTTACTTAACTGAATTACTTGAAATTCGGTTGAAATTTGCATTATATTTGGGTGGAAAGACAACTGAGTGTTTGGTTTCTGTGGCAACCAACAGTCACTTGGTTGCCCCAGTAAAGTGATCTTTCATGGTATCACGGTTAACGACTACTTTTCCACATATAAGATTGTGTTGTTTGTTTGTTGGGATGGTTGCATTCTATAATAATAATCTAATAATACAGCTACCTTGCTTATATTAGTTGAATTGATAACAACTTACCATATCTAATTTGACTTTACTATTTGTCTTATTAAAACAACTAAGGCAGTCAAATCACAAATTTGCATTTAAGTATAGGTGGCTACAGCTTTGGACTGCCGGAAATTGTAAAATTTTCGGGCTATACCCCTCACAGCCCCCATCAAACTGGCTACACTTCTAGGAAGGTCATTCTCAGGGAACCACCGTCTTTGTTCTGTGGGTATATAGTAACAGAGGGAAATTGCTGTAATAATAAGGGTTTTTCTACTTTTCCAAGAAGGTGAGTCATCCCTCCTCTCACAATACAAGTGTTCACTGTATTGCATTATGATCTCTTACATGTGTGTTATGAGTGACATTGCAGACTGATCCTATCTGAAACAGCTTTCACACAGACCTGAGAAACTCCATATCATTATATCAGAGGACTGCCTGGTCTGGCTGATCTGATTATTTCAGAGAATATCACCTCCACACATCACGTTAACACCAGGCCCTGTTTGCCTTCTCCAGCTGGTCCAGGCTTTGACTGCCTTGCTCCTCATATATTCACCAGCAGCAGCCACAGATTTAACCTCCCGTGTTTTGAATTAATGTTGTTGGTGGAAAAAAGATAAAGGAATTGATTAAATCTCTTCATATGTTCTCAGCCAGAGGTGCATAGTCACATCAAGGTAATTGTGTGGATGCTTGCAGTGCAACATGATTTTCAATACAACCCCTATCCATTATTTAAAACTTAAGTAAAAGATAGCAAGAATATTCAGCTCGCCAGCTGTGCTATGACCTCATGTTCCCCACATCGCTGGGCACTGGCTGATCAGTATATATGTGTGTGTGTGTGTGTGTGTGTGTGTGTGTGTGTGTGTGTGTGTGTGTGTGTGCGCACTAGTGGAAGTCGAGGCTGGAATTTTACTTAACAACTTATCTGTATAAGCTGCAGTAAACCAGCCTTAACCTGCCTTGAAGAGACACCAACCCACCAAAGAGTTTAACTGGACAGTACTTATGTACCCAACTCAGTATCACACCAAGGTGTGTGTTACACACGCTTGTCCACTGTTGCAGTGTCTCGTTTGCATTCTGTGGTCAATACCGTAAAACTAATAATAGCCCGGGTGTGAGATTTGTTCAGCAATTCTGACAACTAACATGATGATTATGATCGCTTCAGAGGTTTTTTTCCTTATCTCTTGTTTACAAGTCAGAATTAATTAACATTATACTTTGTTGTTGATTGTTTTCGTAAAATATAGTGAACGATTGAATTGTGGAGAATCTATAACTGATCTAATGATGTGCAGCATGTACATATTGACAGAAGTTGAAACATTTACATTTGTGTAGGAGATTGAAACGACTTAAAACTCGCTCAAGCGCGCGACCTGGTGGGTTTTAAGACAAGATAATTTCTATAAAATCCAGACCAGGCCTCTATTGGAGACCTGCGTTTATTTGTCAAAAGGTGTAGCCACACCAGGCTTTTAAATGAGACATGCGTCTATTAGGGACCCTGCTTAATGTTTTAAAGAGTTCGGTCTAGACCTACTCTATTTGAAAAGTGTCCTGAGATAACTTCTGTTATGAATTGGCGCTATACAAATTAAATTGAATTGAATTGAATTTCTTTTATTGGAAGTTTTACGGTAAATATTCAACGTTACAGTTTAAAAAAAAGTTTGCTGATTTCACAGTTTGGTTAGGTTTAGGCACAAAAGTAACTACATTACATACTTGTAAGGTCAACATTAACTTTTCGCTTCGCACAGGACACCAACAGAAATCCCCTGGGTCTAAGTCCCGTGTTTGTTTGATCCACTTGTTATCCTGCCCTCCTCCCTACGCAGACTTTTTTAAATTGCATCTTCATACATATGTGTACTTTTCATCTGTAGGCAAGGCAAAATGTGACGCTGATGCGGTATCCTCTAAGGCAGTGATTCTCAACCTTTTTGGTGTCAAGGACCCCCAAATTGATACACATTAGGCTGTGGATCCAAATTTGATAAGATGTAGTCTCAGGGATCCCCGTCTGATAAGATTAAGTTATTCCATAACTGTCTATACTGTAGATTAGCAGTTTAACAGTGAAGAGTGTGAAACCTATGAACATAACTGAATAGTCATTCTTATAAATTCTTTCATTGGGCTAACATTTAGTCAATGTAATTGAAAATAGTTAAATTAAAATGTGTTTTCTGAGCTTTGGTGTGAGACTGGGCTATACCATGATGTTGGTCAAAATTCCAAAATGCTGTCTTCATATTAGATTATTTATTAGTATTATTAGAATTTTGGTACACTAACCCTTTAAAATTCAGCAGCGCACTCTGAGTCAAACCTTTAGTATTTTGTATTCATACTTGTTTGGGACCCATAGGATGCTGTAGGGAGTTGGTTTTCTACAGCTGACTGAAAATGTTCCATGTTCCTCTCTGCTACCTCTAACACAGGCCTTAAACACAGAGTCTGTCTTTTTGCGAATGTGATTGCCCACCTATGGTGAAGGAGATGACAGGGAGAAATCTCCACAGATTGCAGTACAAAAAGTACAGCAGTGTGTGCGTATGAATATAGACAGGCCGTGTGAAGAGCACGCAGTTTGCTGTAAAGTTAGTTTCTCTTTTAGTCGGGAATTGTGTTTTGCTTCGGGCAGGCAAGGCTTCAATCAAAATAGGATTATTGTCGAGGCATCTCTTTGAAGTGTCGCCTTGAAACACATGTCTGATACAAACGTTTTCCTAAGCGTTTATTGCTGGAATGGTTGTGCAGCTAAAGGCGGCAGACTTTTGGTGAGGGCATTAGCATTTGTCGATACAGAGGATGATGGCTCAGACATTTGACAATAATCCATTGAGGGAGAGGACCATACAATTTTCTCCCTGTGGTAGATTCCAATTACCTTCTATTTGTCTGATGCAGATATTTCCTCATTCAAAACTCAATACACAGCCATAGGATAATAGCCAGCTCATTGTTGAGCTGCTGCCACCTCTCCTCTCTATAAAAGGTTTTTGTCAATAAACTGACTGAGTCAAATGGAGGCCTCTACTCCTCCAGCTCATAATTCATTCTGATGTCAAATCAATGGCTTGTGTATGATGGCAGGCGTTAATGTGTGTGCTGTGTGTGTGTGTGTGTGTGTGTGTGTGTGTGTGTTGATGGTATTATAGAAGCTGGCTGTAATCCTGTTGTATGTGAGAACAGAGTAGGTGTGTATTAGCAAATTAGTCAGCTACTAAGATGATGGAACTGCTCCAACTCCAGGTCCTGGTAGCCCATGGCTCATAAAGGATGAGACACACAGACAAATTGTTGATGTCAATAACTTCCAGTCGTAACCTCAATAATAAGGTAGAAATACATTGCAGCAGGAGCAGAGTGGAGGCTTCTAGGGCTCTGAAGATAGACTGGAAAGGGGGGAGGTCAGGGTCGGAGTACGACACGCAGTAAAGGGCCACAGGTTGGAACCAAACCCGGGCCACAGTAGTAAGGAGTACATGGGGCTCACGCTCTTGCAGTAAAGTTGCAAATTGGAACTAACTGAGCACCGCTTGCATCTGTATTTGATTACCTGTGAATGAGAACGGGCTGTGCAGGAGGAACTATGGTGACTGCAAAAAAATGCGACTAGCCCTATCTAGAGCCAGTGTTTGGTTTGTCCGTTTTGAGCTACTGTTATATATTTATATATGTTATATTCTATGCGACGCTTTCGTGTTGGCCACTAGGTGGCGCTACTATCATAAAAGGTGTGTTTAGGCTAATAACTTCTGCATAGTTTGTCGCACATCTCCCCATATAGGCCACGCCCACTTTCGCCTATAATTTTTCTTCGCTAGAGCGCGAAATGTCCATAAACTACTTTTTCGTGTACCTCCTTTGCGCTTTGTCCGATTCGTACAAAAATTTTCACGTAGTATCTGGGAACCGTCGTAATAAAAAACAAATTCAAAGAATTTTGATATTTTAAAAAATAAGCACGGTATAAAATTAGCACTTCCTGTGGATGTTTCGTCAAAAAAGGAAGTGGACCATTTCTCCACATTGGTATGTCCGATTGACACCAAGCTTGGGTCCATAGTTTCCCATGTCTTCCTTAGGCATCGTGCACAATTTCAGGCCATCGCCACAAGATGGCGCTCTTTAAAATGAAGAAGTTTATATCTCTGCAATGGCACGTGTGATTAAAATGAAACTTGGTACGATGCTTGCCCATGGCTCCCTGAGGCTCCCTAAAAAATGTGTCAACAATCCGCCACTAGGTGGTGCTCTGGTGGCAGGGTACATCACTGTACGAAAACCGTAATAGTTATGAATATGAAATTCACAGGGCTAGTGTAGAGTGGTGCCTGTAACTCACATACCAAAAATCGTGTTTGTGGTGTTTGTAGTGCCCCCTACAGGATTTTAAGAAATCGGCCCCGGCGCCACGTTTGACCGATATGTATGCAACACGGTAGACACGTGTAAAGGCGGTCAAAAAGTGCCTCCGAACACACCAAACGAACGCCGACTGGAGTGTACGTTCTACGCGTGCGCAAGGCGTAATACATCCCCATAACAGCAGGCGGCACTAATCTGTGTTGTCGCCCCAAAAAAATGAAAACCGGAAATGACGGATCACTCTAGACCTAGTAAACACAGAGCACGCTGTTATCAGTCATTGTTTTCATCAGAGAGTGTTGATAGTAGTCAAGAAGGATCGTTATTGTCATTACTCACTGAACGGAAAATACGATGGCTAATAATAACAAGATACTGGCGTTGGTGTAGTATGTTTACCATCGTCACTTCCGGTTTTCTCGTGCACTCACTGATTCACTAGTCAAGGGCTAGCACTCCGGCAATCAGATTGGTCATTGATGCCGACGGCCACTGAAAAATGAATGCCGACGCCGACTCCGACTGACAGCGGCACGGGACACACCGAACCAACTCAAGTCATCGACCTCACCCGACTGTTCGACGACGTCCGACGGCCGATAATCGGGTTGGTGTGTCCGGGCCTTAACATGCCGAGACGTACAAAAAACCCCACGGGAAGTCAGCCATTTTGATTTTGATTTTCAGTTTCGGCTGACTTTTCGCGTTGTATTTGAACTCCTCCTCCTAGGGACTTCATCGCATCTGCTTCAAAATTTGTCAGTGCGGTCAAAAAATGGTGCTGATTAAAATTTGTGCTATTTGTGCATGTACGTTGAAGGGCGTGTCCGGGGCGTGCCGTCAAAGTTGGCCATTTTGAATTCCGTGCTCATTTTCAGTGAATTTTTCGCCTTGTATTTGAATGAACTCCTCCTAGAGAATTTATCGGATCTACTTCAAAATTGGTCAGTACAGTCAAAAAATGGTGCTGATTGAAAGTTCTGCTATTTGTGCATGTACGTTGAAGGGTGTTTCTGTGGCGTGCCGTCAAAGTTGGCCATTTTGAATTCCGTGCTCATTTTTGGTGAATTTTCGCCTCGTATTTGGACGAACTCCTCCTAGGGAATTTATCGGATCTACTTCAAAATTAGTCAGTGCAGTCAAAAAACATTGCTGATTAAAAGTTGTGCTATTTGTGCATGTACATTAAAGGGCACGTGACGCGGTCGCAGCACACCCTGAGTTGCGTGGAGTGCGAGGTCCCACCCACTGCTGCTTGCAGCTTTGATTTTAAATTGCATTTTGTGAAGGCCTTTAAATTATCTTGAGGTATTAAATTATCAAATGCTGTCTTATCTACAACGCAAAACAAACAAGACTCTTCTTGAAACATTAAATGCATGGCTTTATCCATAATTCCTAAATACTAAACATACTTTAGGCATCTCCCTGCACCCATTTTAATTTGCTGTTAATGTAAACTCAACACTTCCTCCATGTCCAATCTTGATTTATTCAGTATAATGGGCATTTCTACTGCACTAATTCCATCAGTACAACAGTCATGTCATACTAACCGCTCTGCTGCTCTCTCTTTTCGCTCTTTAACACCAGTTGTGTTTTCATTCAATAATTACTTCTAGTTCAACACTTGCTGCACAGATGTTTCACGTTGAAAGTCTTCCAGTGGTTCAAAAGGTTTAATCTGTCGATTAAAAAGAACAGTAAAGTAATGCAGTAGGAATTAAGTATTGAATTGTAATTTAATTAAGTGAAAGCCACTACTGTGTTTGCTATTATTTGAGACTGAAGCCATTTAAGAATGGTTTCCCATCTTGCTCAAGCTGCGGCTGCTGGCTATGATTGAACTTTTCCTCTGTGAGATAGTCACTTACTCAGGAAATTACCAATGATAAAATAAAATCCTTTTTTTTCCCACCTTGGTGTGCGCTTTGTATGCCCCCATGTCCCATGGGCCATTTACCCCCATGGCCTATATCAGTGCCACACAAACCCTGGCACAATGCTATGCCAGTGGTAAACACAACAGGTTAGTGTGTGATGCTGCCAAGTGCTTGCTCATGGTGGGAACTGTTGGGTCTCTGTAAATAATGCTATAAGGAGTTCAGTCTAGACCTGCTCTATTTGAAAAGTGTCCTGAGATAACTTCTGTTATGAATTGGTGCTATACAAATAAAATGTAATTGAAATTGAATTGATGTGTACTGTAATGT